TGCGACCGCGCGATGCGGGAGCAATCTGACGGCCAAACCGCGGGCCAGCTCAGCGATCCGCGTCGCTCAGTCAAACCGCTCCCCCGAAGCGCGGTTTGACTGTTGGGGAACGTAAACCGCGAGCTGGAGGCGTGGTTTTAGGTGGGGTAAAAAGACAAAACCGCCCCTCTTCTTCCAGAGAATCGAAGCTGTCTTCACTAACATCGCCTTCCTCTTCTTCAACCTCAGGGTCACTAACTGGACTTGGATTGACCTCTTCTTCCTTCTGATTATCATCATGAAAGGCACCTTCACCAGCTCCGTAATGGTAGTTGTGGTAACTAACACCGCTTTGGTAGAAGTTGTACTCGGGTGGGTACTGGTAGCCTGCTTGTTGGTTATGATCCGCCTGTTGAGCTTCTTCTTCATATGAAGGGAATGATTGATGATGACCTCCAGTTCCATCATGATACTGCCTCCAGCTCGAGTCTTGGTACTCTTGGTGGGGATGATCTTCGTATAATACACTTCCACCATGGATACCAGATGTTTGGCCATCTCCAGAATGACCTACACCGTCTTCGATGTCCTCGGTGTAAACCAACATCTCCGCTTGCTTAATTTTATTGGTGGTCAAAATTGGACCATGGCATCAACGTCCTCTTGAGTGGTAAGGATGAATTCCTCATTCCACAACGACCCGTCATGTCTTTTTGGATATCGATACACCATTTAATCAACTCTTTTAGTGCCATCCATGCAGGTTATCTGAGTGCACATTTGATGGAGCTCTTCAAGCATCGGTCTCGTACGGACCTTCATTTTATAAAAATTGCCATCGACGTAACTTACACCCTTTTCGGTCTCTTCCGTGTAACCATTCCACCGCAACCCAAGCATAAACCTTTGGAGTGCCATCTGCAATAAAACTGTAATTAAGTTACTAACATAAAATCACAAAGGACAATGAAAAGTAATACAAAACAAACTTACGAATTAACGTTAATCGTAAAAACTAAATAATTTAAAGGTGCACAACTGAAATTTGAAGAAGGAGGAGGAGGAGTGTGAAGAATTTAAGTTCTCTGAAACAACCTTTTATAGGCGAATTTTGCAGTACAAACCGCGGGGGGGGGGGGGGGGGGCGGTTTTAGGTCTGCCATGCAGCCCCACCCCCTACATGCCGACATGTTTGATGTCGGGTGACCAGGCACAAACCGCGCCTTGGGGCAGCGGTTTAGTTTGCACAAACCGCCATTGGGGGGCGCGGTTTATGTCTGCACATGGTAAACCTCCGCCTGGTGGGGCGGTTATCAAGCCGACATTTAAACGCTTTCTCACGAAGCGTTTTGTGGTAGGGTTAATATATAAACCACGCCTTCGAGGAGCGGTTTTACCTGAAATTAAAAATCGCCTGTTGACAAGGCGGTTATGATGTAAACCGCTGCCTGGTGGCGCGATTTATATATTAACCGCCTAGTAGAGGCGCGGTTTTTAATAAATGGTGGTATTTTTGGAAATGGTTGGGAATGAGTGGTTTTTGTATTTTTTTTAAACAGTGGTAGTTTTGAATTTTTTCCCAAATTCCCTATGTTCACGATTGCTTTTTTCTTTATGACAATACAATGCACAACTTTTCGCCAACAACATACTCCATCGCTATAGACAAATGGTTTGAACTCAACCAGCTTCCAACTTTTATTGATAACCTCAAAAAGAAAAATCGCCATAAAATCACTCAGGCAGTACAGTTTTGCACCAGACAAACAAAAACCAGAGTTTGTAAAGCGACGACAACCAACCTCCTTGAAGTAAATAATGTTAGGATACCAAAGCAATCTGTGATTTGTAATCTCTCTTGCCACATTCTCATAAACCTGAAAGATATAATTAAATAGCATTACAAACATTAAAAAAGGCGCAGATGTTGATAATTCCAAATTCAATCATAACGCATCACGTGCTTGCAAATTGCAATCACACAACTCCCCTTTTGTAGCCGTTTACATTGGAAAATTCAAGATAGGTTCCGAAATAGATAAGAAATAACCATTCACCCAAGTTATAATCCAAGCAATGTTTGAGAATGCTTGCATGATTTCAGCTTCCCCCACTCCATCGGATCGTATCAGCATAAGCTTGCCTATGCGTAAAGTAGAGAATAACAGTATTAGAAGTTAGAACATGTGACTATCAAGTCATGCACCAGCTAATGTGACTAATCTAGCTAAAAAGAGAGGGGCATACAGATTTATCTCCTTCAACTTCATTGTTTCGACCAGTTCACATTATTGCCTAAAGGCATTAGCTCTTTCAGCAATAGTTTCCTGTCCAAGTTTTGGAAAGCAGCAGGATGATCAGTTTCCATAAAGTATAATGATTCAATTGACATCAGGCATAAACCCACCTAAAGGGGAGTGCAACCGCAAGAGCGCCAACCTTAATTGACTGCACAACACGGACGTAATCTTTCATAGGTTCTTTCAAAATTCATTAGGAGTTGATGGGCCTGCATGTGCGTGAAGACAAGGATCAATAAACTCATTACTCTAAGGCCACAACAGCATAACAAAGATGAACTCAACGTCAACTCAAAGACTTGCCTCCTTTTGTAGCCGGATTGATAATGCCTCCGATTAAGCACCAAGCTCGGTTAGTACTTTCCCAAGACCATTCGATTCGCAAGCACCAAGTAACTTCGCAGCCTTCCCGAAATCGATAGAGATTGTCCCAACTCTGAGTAAAGAGAAATTATCCAATACAAATTGCTTACTTCCCGATGAAACATCAAGAATGCTTGCATGATTAAAATAAACTTGACAGGCATAGGAAAATATCACAAATTGATGATAATTGACATTGCAATATGATCGCAAACCAAAATGCGAGCTTATATATCTCACTTTAGATAGGAGCATTCAAATTAATCAAGCTACCTTCTCCACTTTCAAATAAGCAATGATCAAAAGACTACAATGGATCAATAGAAATTGGTGGTTCTCTTTAATGTCTTAGTCATTCTTATTATATTTGTCACAATAAAGCCTACTGTAACCCTTGGAGGCAAAAGAATACTACTGATGGTTTCTGCAACTATCATAAGACATTAATGGGAACAAAATTACGATAAAGAACTTGAAAACTACCTAACTTCACATTCAAATGTATCAATCTTGTACAGACAGATGGTTGTACCACAATCTCATGAAGACAACTCCTTGTATACCTAAACATAAGATCTACTGCAGCTATTCATTCTGGAGCATTATTACTGGTTTCATAAAAGAAACTAAGTTAAGTACAACCACAAATGAGAATTTATAGAGCAGAGGAGAACCCAAAAAATGCAGTTTTGAGAAATTTTACTTGTTTAACTGAAATCTCTCTTCTCCAATATAGTTAGCAAACGATGGAACAGAGAGAGAGAGAGAAAACGGGAACACATCAAAACTGGAATACAATGATCGGGAAATATGGGGAGACTAAAAACTGAGAAGTTTGGACCCCGTGAATCCCTTGATCACAAAAAAATAGTCCCTTGATCACAAGAGTGACAACCAAGTTTCCACTCACATGGTATAGCATTTAACTTCCAACACTAAGCACAACAGTAACAAAGAAATAAGCAGCAAGAAAACAATTTGGCCTTGAAATGCAAAATACAGCTGGCGCAAACAAACTCAATAACAAATACTATGACCTTTATCCTGAACCGAGACACCATTTAGCATATGATCTAAATTATTTAGCAACTCAAGCTTCATCCAAGTTAAAAACAATATACGATGAAATACCACATGGCAGGCCATCCTATGACTGGCGCAATTACATCACAACAGGAAGAAGGGGCAAGGTAGGAAACCCAACTGATTTTGGAAAATCCAACTATCTCACATAGGATCGAATAATGGAAGACTGCGACTTTCTTCCCTCCAGGCTGTCCTGTACCCCATTTGAGTCCAGTCCTCACTTGCTTACCAACATTTTGTCCTGCCGCAGGAGGATCAAACACCATTGCCACCATCCCAACTTGTCATCCGTATCCCAAGGACAAAAACAAATAATCCCCATAGCAAGAATTGTATTGGATCACTTAATGACAATTAAGAATATCGAGCAATATACCAATTGGTGCAGATGTATCTACCAGAAGCAGCAGGAGTCTCATACAACAAAACTTGTGCCTTGGTCGCATCTTTAACAGAACAGCTCCCAACCAGTGATACTCCTGTATGTCTTTAGCTCCTTCCAGCATTTGTTTCAACACAGCGGTGCTTGCATTCAGTCCAAGCTGCAACAATAGCCCCAAACACGTTGCCGGATGGATCGCCACCAAATCGATCCCATTCTTGCCCGCGAACTCCAGTGCAGCTTCCTCTGCCAGCGTCTTCAAAACCGAATGCCATTTCTGCAATAAAAAAAACACCCAATTGGACTAATTGAACTCAGCCATGTGTGGATTCGAACTTATTTGCTTCGGAGGACAGGGTCCATGTAACTCTTCTTCGATGGGAAGAAAATGTGTCGGCGATTCAAAGCGGAGGGTTGATTTTGGCTATAAAAACCTACTTCAAGATAGCCGGCGCAATCACGGCGCTGGACCCGGATTTTGAAGGGAAAGCCTCCGTTCCATCCTCATGCACGCCCACCGGAAGAAGAAGTTGCGACTCGTCGGTGGGAGGGGAGCATGTTGGTGGTGACTGGTGAGAACTTCGTTCGGAGAAGATTGCGGTGTGGTGCGTGTAATTCAATTTCTAGAAAACACTAATGGCCCGGCCCAGTAGCCCACTATGGTACAAGGGGACTTGATTTCCCATCCGAAAAAGGCTACCGAAATTACCCCTCCGACAATTCCTCTGCGTGCAGCATTTTTTAAATGGGTTTTCAGTTTTTCCCTATGTACTTTTATATGTTGTGTAGATATATTTTATTTTTACAATATTTATATAAATCACCAGCGCGAGGGCACTCATGTAAAATTCTTGGCAGCCCGCATAAGTACATCAAAATAATGCGGTTGAATTTTCGGACAAAAAACCCAGCATACGATCGGAGGACTGCTCACTCTCGACTTTCACTCTTTTTTTTTGCCCTATGCATATCGCCAAATGAGAATTTCAACTTTCCCCATTTCCTCAGTCCAACTACTGTCTTCTTCAACCTTCAGCTCGTAGATAGAAGCTGAGAGATCAGCTTCGATCCCGATCTGCCCGACTGGCCGTCTCTTAATTCAGTTCGTAACCCAGTGAGTCAACCCGTCCTACCTCTTCTCCAGAAAACATACTTTACTTCTTCCTTGTGCTGGCTCTGAGTTTAGGATCTTCTCCAATTGCGGTCTGATTATTCTCTCTCTTATGGTTATCCCCCCATGGTGCAGTTTTGAGCGGATTTCCTCTATGTCGGACCACTTCATAGCTCCTTGGGACTTGCAGGAAGAGCCCGTCGACGAGTAAGCTTTCTTTTGTCCTTTGAGGCCATTTATTATCAAGCTTTCCTCTGGTGGGGGAACGTAGCAACGGATTCATTCGCCTCTGGCTTCAATTTTCCAAAGCCGGAGCTGAATTCGATGTCACCGGAATTTTGGTATCTTAATTCCGAATGGTGAACGAGTGGCTCCTATTTCGTTGTGTTATTTGTCTAGATCTGTCTTATGCGTTAGTCAAAAAGAGTCTTCCTGTTCAGTATCTGGATGATTGAAACGAAGTAGTTCGAGTATAAGATTAGGGTTGAGAATTTGGGGATTGAGAAGAATTTGGTGAAGAAATTGGGAAGAGGGTCCGAAGTGCAGAGAGAGAAGAAGATTAGGGATTGAGTTTTCACTTAAGCTGCCTCTCTTAAGTTGTGAGTTGTGACGAACTAATCCTGGCTCTGATACCATTGATAGAAACTAAGTAATCTGTGGAAAAAATTAGGGTTGAGAATTTGGGGATTGAGAAGAATTTGAGCAGAGAGAGAAGAAGATTAGTGATTGGATTTTCAATGTTTTTCTATTTATAATCTCAAAGTGGCTATTCTAAATCCTTAAATAAGAGAGTTTTGAAAAATAATGGAAAATTAACATAAACACCCCTCCAACCGGCCACACCCAACCTGCCTGTCGGCTGGCTTTCTATCACCGGAGTTCATCGCTCAGGCGGAGTACGGATTTTTCTTTTTCCGTAGTAAAGTTAGATAATTGACTCAAAATCTGAGGTTATTTGGAGCATACCCAGCGGATAGTTTTACTTTAGGGCTAGGTTTGTCATGTTGCTGAGAGAAGTTTGTTTTCCTATTGTGAACACCAGGGGCTACGGTCCTCGGTCTCCAATCCACGATCAGCAGAACGATCAGCTTGTAGGGAATGGAATCCCCAATGGTGGTAATCCGTTTGCTCACAATGGTGCAGCTCAAGAAGACAAGAAATCCCTGCTAAATGACGTTATTAGCAGCGTTGTTAATGAGTTAAATAGCAGTGATATTTTGAACGAAGGGGAGCATCTTGAGACTGATCAGCCTAATGGGGCTGTCCAGCAGGGTTCTAGTGGTGAAGGTCTGCCATATGCTCCTGTTAACTGGCCGAACCCGGGTGACAACTGGACCTGGAAGGTAGGGAAGAGGATTAACACTGCTGGGTTTTTCCAGGATAGGTTTCTGTATCCTCCAAAACATTTCCCCAAAGTGACAGGGGCGAGACCTCCATTTGCGAGCCCAAATGCTGTGACCTCTTACATCCGGACGGTGTTTCCAGATGCTAATGCTGATGCATTTTTCTCGTCCTTCTCTTGGAAGGTCCCTGGGAAGGCGGCGTCTCCTCTGAAAGGTCAGCTTAAACATTTCAGAATCTTCTCTGTTCATCATCTTTCAGTAGTAATTATGTGCTGCTTGTAACAAGTTCAAAAAATTATGCGTCCCTTGCTTGAGATTAAACTAGTTATGCATTTTAAGTACACAGCATTTGGTATGTGTGTATGAAGTCTTCCCATTTCGATTAGTGTATAGTCTATATCTAGAGACACTGTATTCTTCATAGAGTATATATGAGTAAAGGATCGTTTGCTGAAGTTTATTTGAATCGGGAATCACTCATCTGTGAATTGCAGCGGAACCCATCTCCACCTCTTTCCCAAAGCCTTCTCACGGTGATGGCTCAAAAGAGGAAGTGCAAGTGCAAGGAGAAGGCTCTCGGTTGAGGAAAAGGAAGCCTAAAGCACCAACTCCACCACCTCCATCCCCACCTCCGCCCAAGCAGAAACGACAGCGCAGTGCTTCTAAATCATCTGCAACGAACCCGAAAAAAACAAAAGACAAAACAGCAGCTCCCTCATCATCTGCAGCCAAGCGAAGAAGTAGGCATGCTGCTGGTAAACAAACTGTCCCTGTCCCTTTTGCCGACGATGGAAATAATACCCAGGCAGAGGAGTTTAACATTACAATCCCAGAAGACTTCGACAACTACCTCAACTCTCTAGAAGACATCATCGCCCAGCCATTTTCTGACAGCATAGTTGCTGGTCAGTCAACAACAATGGCTAGTGATTCTCCTCCGGTGGACGATGATGAGATAGCTGAAGCTCGTCACAGGCTTTCTTCCTTGCTGGTTATGGACTTCCCTACACTAGTTTCCTCCAAGAACTTCACTGAACTCCTGGCTTTGGCTTCAAAACTACGGAACGATCCTCGCCTGACTGCCGAACAGCTTGTCAAGCTGAAGTTGATTGAGGAAATGTCGTCTTTCAGGGAGGTTTTCCACGAGAGTAGGGATATCATTGTCCAAATCGACAGGCATTACGGAACCCTGGAGGCGAACAAGGCCAAAGTCGCTTCTCTCAAGAGCGAGTACAGCGAGCTGAAGGACAAAACAGACCAGCTTCAGGCACAGATAGACGGTAACTTGTCGACGGTGCAAGACATCGACAATGAGATTGCTAGGCTCCAAGTTCGTCGAGCAGAGTTGATCGGTGCAGTGGAATCAAACAAAGCGGCTAAGGTGGAGGTGAGCTACGCACAGAAGATGGTGGCGAATGCGATTCCGAATGTTGTGCACGAGATTCAAATCTCCAACTCCAAGATCCCCGAGTGGGATCTGAAGAGGAGTAATGCAGTGAAGCGGGAGGCCGAAATCCTTGCAAAGTTTGCACCTTTGCAAGGGTTCTCCCTCATCCCGCCCCTGTTCCAGGGACTGTTTCTGTAAGTTAAGTTGAGGGTCTTGTCTGTGATTCAAAGCGGCAGTGATTATGCAATGTGCTTTCCGGCCGGTGACTTCGCCAATTGTAGTAGTGAGAAAGACTTCCCCTCTTCATGTTAGCTTTGTGTGATTGTTCTGATTTATCTAGCGCAGGAGACAGAACATTGTACTATTTCCTTGTCATATTTAAGTCCATGCGTGCTTTAGAAATGCACTATTTTGTATTCTCTGATCTGTAGCTTTCTTCTTTTTGATTTAAACTGATGATGAGTAGCTGTTACTGTTGAATGTTCTTCTGGTTGCTGCAGTACTTAAAAGAGTAATTTAACTAATCGTCAATGTGTAAACTTGGGCATGTATCTGTCATCCATTGCATCTAGGGTATGGTTACTCATCATATAGACTTCACTTTGACCTTGTTATTGCTTCCACTATGCAACACTCGTTCTTGGTTGGACTTGTTTGTAAAGTTTGATAAGTTAAGATATTATAGTGCATGATAAATAATATAAAGGTATTATGGAGCCCAATTTTCTGAAATCCCCTGGCCCAATTAATTGATTGGGTTAGGCCCAGTTTTTTTTTTTTAACATAGTCAACATTAGGAAATAGATAGTCACAAAGTCAAAGTACAGACTTCAACGCCATGCGGGAGTCGACCAATAGTCGAACTTCCGATGAAAGGGCTTGCTTTGCCACAAAATGAGCAGCCCTGTTAAAAGATGCGCTTGGCATAAGAACACGAGCAGAATTCGAACGCCTGCGCCATCCTGTGTACGTCTTCCAGAAGAGCTCCACCCATCGCGTGTTGACGATCACCGGTTAACACTCGGCGTACCACCAGTTGCGAGTCCCCAAAGAATTTGACAGTGAGAAAACCCGGGGTTAGGCACCAATCCATAGCATCACGAAGGGCTAGAAGTTCAGCTAGAAAAGGGTCCTGGATACCAGCATAGAACTTACCGAATGCAAAACTGAGCGCACCAAGAGGTTTGAAACCAACGAATCCAACGTTGCAGCCCCGGTCGCGTTTAAGGGCTCCGTCAAATCGAACCATCCACGCTTGGGAAGAAGCGTACCTTAAGTCCACCACGCGCGAGGCTATGACTCCCGTTGTTGCTGGACTCGGACTTCGCATGGGCCCTGGTATCTAAGTAGAAGATCCCCCTGTATTCGCACCTGAGGCCGAGGAAGCTGCTTGCCATTCTTCCACCTGCAAGCGAAACTGTCTCAACAGGGCGGGGGGAAGGTACTGAATGCCCCTATGGACTGCCCAGCAGCGACCTTTCCAGATCCTCCAGCATAGAAATACCACTTCCACAACTTGCAACTTGGAAAGATGCAACGAGAAAAAGAGGTTATTCCATGCATCATCCATCGGCAATCCCTCCAATTTGGTGCGAACATCTGCTAGGCCAGCAAGGGTCCATAGTGGTTAAGCCACCCTGCAGTGGAAAAAACAGTGATTAAAAGTCTCTGGGTCATCTGAGCAAACAGGACAGGTAGGAGAGGAAACTAGAGTCTTCTGTAATAGGATTGTTTGAAGGGGAAGAAACCCCCTAACCACCCTCCAAAAGAAAACCTTAAGTTTCGGCGGAAGTGGGAGGTTCCACAACATCTTCCAAAACCTGCAGTCAAACGGCAAATCATCAGGAGGATGACGAGCATTCAACTCATTAGTTAGCAGGTGATATCCAGTTTTTACTGTGTATTCGCCGGAAGCAGAATAATGCCATACAAGGCGAACATCTGTGTCGTGGAGGGGAAGAGGGATGCTCAATATGGCCTGAACTGATTCTGAAGTGAAGAGGGACACAAGATCAGCACGTTTCCAAGTGCGAGTCTCGCTGCAAATCAGGTCCGCCACCCTTGGGGGGCAAGTGAGAACACCTGGTAGCAAGCAAGGCGGAGACGGAGGAGTAGTGGGCAGCCATATATCTTCCAAGACTCGCACTGCCTGTCTCGACCCAATTTGCCACCTCAGGCCGCGTTTGAGAAGGTCCCGTCCTTCCAAGACTGGCAAGACACCTTGCCATGCCCAAGAGGGCCGGTAACCAGCTTCAGCATCTAGGAAGTGATGATGAGGATGGTACCTCGCCTTGTAGATCTTGCCCAAGAAACTCTCAGGATTAATCATTATTCTCCAGGCCTGTTTAGCAAGAAGAGCAACATTGAACCGGTTAAAGTCTCTGAAGCCCAACCCCCCTGCAAACTTGCTTCGACAGGCTGCTGACCAAGATAGCCATCTAATGCCATTTTCTTTATCCTGTCCCGCCCACTAGAATTTGGAAAGGAGACTATTGCAACGACGACAGGTTGTAGTCGGGAGACGGAAGGCTGACATGGCATACACCGGGCCTGCTGCTCCAACCGCTTTGATGACGACCTCCTTCCCAGCCATGGAAAGGGATTTTGATTTCCAACTTCGGATCTGATCTGTCAAGGCTTCTTCAACAAATTGGAATGTCAAGGACTTGAAATGGTGGACTTGCGAGGGGAGTCTCAGATACTTGTCTCCAATCCCCATCTGGCCGACAACCAGAAATGTTGTAAGAGCCGCAAACTCCCCCGTGGTCACATTCGCACTTACACACATTGATGATTTATGCAAGTTGACCTTTTGTCCACTTATGGCCTAGTATTCATGGAAAACATGGAGAAGGTTAGCACATTCAGGCAAGGAAGCCCGGAGGAACATATATGTATCATCAGCAAAGAGGAGATGGGAAGTAATGGGTGCTCGCCTGTGAACTTTCAAACCATGGAGGGACGAGATAGCAATTTCAGACATAAGCTTGGCAGAGAAGGCCTCTGTGTATAGCGCAAAGAGAAGCGGGGAGAGAGGACCACCTTGGCCGATTCCACGTTGAGGTTGGAAGTACCCATACTCTACCCCATTCATTAGGATTGAGAACCGAACAGTGGAAATGCAAGACCGGATCCAACGTATCCAAGTGGGAGAAAAGCCCATAGCTGCCAAGACCTGGAGTAGAAATTGCCACTCCACCCGGTCATAGGCCTTCTCCATGTCCAGCTTAAGCGCCATCCACTTCTCCTTTCCCTGTACTTTCGTTTTTAGGAACTGCATAATTTCTTGAGCAATCAAAATATTGTCAGATATAGAACGACCTTTGATAAAGCCATTCTGGTAAGAGCTAACAATGTTAGGGAGAATCAAGCTCAATCTAGCAGCCAAAATTTTAGAAATTATCTTATACAAAACCTGACACAGGCTGATTGGCTGCATTTGTCGCTTATTGTCAGCATTTGGTACTTTGGGAATGAGGGCGATCCAAGTATGATTTATACTGTGAAGGAGCCGCCCAGTGCTGAAGAAAGACAAGACCGCCGCACACACGTCCTTCTCAATCTCTGGCCAGAATCTCTGATAAAACGCCCTGTAAAACCATCTGAGCCTGGTGCCTGGGATTTCCCAATAGCAAACACCGCTTTGCGGATCTCCTCTACTGAGACAGGAGCAGTAAGATCTGCATTCGCTTCTTCGTCGACACGTCGAGGAAATTGGAGGCTGCCTACATAATTGGTTGGATCAGTCCCTGAAGAGGTGAAGAGGACCTTGTAATAGTCAACTGCTATCTCCCCTTTCTCATCTTCTAATTGGTGAAGCACCCCATTTTCATCTCTCAAAGATAAAATAGATTTGAAACGCCTCCGATGGATCAAGGATAAGTGAAAGAACCGAGAATTAACATCACCAGTTTTAAGCCAGCCATTACGAGATTTTTGCTTCCAGTAAATCTCCTCCTGCTTATATGCCTCTCCTAGCTGAATTTCCAACCCATTGATGTGTTCCCAATCCACAACAGACTCCTCTTTAGCATTTTCAATCTGCCCCTTGAAATCAATAATCTTCCGGGCGGAGTTGGAAGTCCCTTTCCTGGCCCATTCCACTAGCCCATGCCGCAGGTTCTTAAGCATCGGTTGGATTCGGAATTGCGTCGTGCCATGAACCTCCTGCTGCCACACTGATTGCAGAATCCCAGGCACTTCCGTGTTAGAGTCCCAGCGCATGTCATACCTGAATCGACGTCTAGGCCGGGACGGAGGCTTGAGGAAAGTCACCAATAGGATCCTGTGATCTGATCCTATATCCGAGAGATGCCGCACTTGCAGATCAGGCCACCAAGAGAGCACTTGAGAGTTAGCTAAACATCTATCAAGTTGCTCTGTAATATGGCGAGACCCCGACTGACGATTAGACCATGTAAAAGGACTTCCTACACATCCTAGATCAGTGAGATTAGTGAGTAACAAGAATTCCCCCAACTGGTCAAAGGCAGCAGGGGTGAGAGCTCGACCCCCTGCTTCTCAGCCGATGACAACAAACAATTAAAGTCACCCAATACGAAAGTAGGATGGACACACGACAAAACAAAAACATTAATTTCATTGAGTTCAGACTGCCTAGTATGTACATCACAACTGAGGTGCACAAAAACTACTACAAAGCGCCCTAGGGACAAATGAAGGCATTCAACAATAAGATATGCATAAGTAGACACTAAAACTGTACAGGAAACAAGGTCCGACCAGCCTATTGCTAATCCCCCACCCCTGTTAATTCCATGAAAAGCACGAACATTCGAGAACCCCAAGCTACGAATATGCCCTTCCACAACTCATCGTCTCTCCTCGTCTCACTTAGGAAGGTAAGAAAAGGAAGATGACCACGAATGGCTTTCCGCAAGGATGGAATCGTCAGGAGGGAGCCCAAACCCCGACAATTCCATGCCATGATGCTCATTTGATGGACTGGGACCAGTCTGGGTCGGTTGCCTCCACCCTTGAACTGTTCTCAGTATCTATAAAAGAACCTTGTTGAGAAATCCGAGCCCTTTTGGCAGTCGGCTCTATCTGATCAGGTTATGCTCCTCCTTTTGGTGATCCTGCCGCAGGAGCAAGAGAAGGGGCAGCCTCATTGATCTCTCTTGCCTCAATGGAGAGTTGGTGCAGCTTGTTTGGGACAACTATGGCCCCTGAACGACTCGACAAAGACCCCCAGAGAGAAGCCTCTGTCTCGCTCTTATATGCTTTGCGGATCCAAGTGTACTTCCTCTTTCGATCTAAAGTTCACTCATCAACACGGGGTCCCCTGTCTAGGCTAATCATATGCGTGCCATATCGCATCGGTGTACCTCCGAGCTCCTCTTTCCGCAGGCAACGAATACCTGTAGGGCCAACAACACCACACAAGTAGCAAAGCTGGGGCAAACGCTCGAACTTAACAGCAGTAGTGAATTCACCTTTGCCGGCCTCATCATGTAGCGCTGGAATCTCATAAGGCAGCGGGGCAGAGACATCAATGCAGACTTTAACTCGCACATAAAGCCCGCCAGTAACCTCCGATTGATGGATGGTCGCCGGATCCGCGGCATCGAGGGAAGCTCCCATCAGCGTTCCAAGGCGCTCCGTATAGCAGGTGTATGGGATGCCCCAAAGTGGGATCATCAATGGCACACGAAGGAGGGAATCGGCCAAGGAAGGAGATGGTGTCTCCCAAGGGATCAGATGGAGCACATATTTGGGCCGGAACCAAGGGGAGTTTTTTCGCACCCTATTGAGATCCTTGGCCGTCGAGAACACCACTTGAATTAGGTCCCAATCTAGCGGCACAATGAAAATCGCAGCCGAACAATTCCACAACCGCAACAGGTCTGCCTTGAGGGCGTGCAAGGCTGGTCGCAGACCGCAAACCCTCCCAACTAGCGTGAGTTCGCCGCGGATTGCTCCCACTTGCACATCAGCGTCGGAAAATCGGACCACCGCCATCGCAATTGGATTTGGGGGAACAATGAAAGTGGCGTCTACTAAAAGGGGACGCACTGGGAGCAGAAGGCCGATGAAAGATAGAAACGTCCTGTGCATCCACATGGTATATAAAGGCTCCATGGCGGAGCGGGCCGCTTTCGGCGTCGCACGATGGTGATTGCCGGTATCGGCGAGGCGCACTATGCGCAATAATCGCCCTACTCTCAAGGAGAGAGGGGAGAGCGAAAGCCTCTGGGCTAGGTCCAGTTTCTCTGTAAAGGTTCTGTTCCACAATTGCGAAGCCCAATTTGCATCCCATATCATATCTCCTTCTTTCTCCGGACCTGGAGGCTGGAGCTAAGGCTAAGCTAACTTCTCACCACGGGCCACGTGGGCAGAGTATATTAATTTACGGGCAGCTATGCTAATGCGTTAATGGTCTCAAGGAACATGCTTAATGCTTTGTTAGTTTGATAGATTGGCAGCGCGCAAACTCATCAATTGATCTAGAAACTTCCCCTGCCAACGTTTTTCTAAGTGGCTGGCTATACAATCAATCTCCATTAGAATTCCTCCCGGCAATCTTCTTCGGCTTCTCAGTTCTCACCCAGCCACCTAGTTCGCGTCCATCGCCGAATCGTGACGTTCATCACCTCGCAGGTATGCTAGTTCTTGACGCTTTATCGGGCGGGTAAGGATAATTTTCAAAGTCTTGAGGCTTGGGAGTTGTTGTTTTCCTCACATTCTACAGATCAATCTTCTGCTAATCCCTGTTCACATCTTCCTGCATTGGAGTTGTATGTGAATTCGTCGATTCTAGTTTCAGGGTTTGGGGGGTTTGTTTCTTGTGAATGATTTGTAATTTGATCTGATACTGGCCTGATCATTGGGTTTCGAGGTTTTGCGGGGGTTGGATCGTTCTTTTTTCAATTGATATATTGACTGAGGCTTCAATGGATACATTGAATCACCATCTGGCTTATCTCCAACTGAAGTTTCCTTTTTTTTTCTTCTTCTTCCTTTCTCCCCAGTGAGCGACCTTCCAAATGTGTTTGTTTATGCATCTTCTCAGATTTCATTCGTTCTGGTTAGTATTAGTAGAGTTAACTTTAGGATTAAGCCTCTCAGTTAACATTCTCTGTATATTTTAATGAAATCTTGTCTTATGTGATCTAAGTAATAGTTTTCATACGATCCAAAATGTTACGACTCCACCTCACAATTATATTTTAATCCGGATTTTGATAAAATTGTCAATCATCTTGGACTTGCGGCTTGATTGACGGCATGTTTGGTTCATTTTGAGCTGGTGTGTTCTTCATGTGTTTCTTTCTTAGAAGATCTTCTGCTCGCTTTCATACGTCTGGATTCGCAGGCTTGTTGCTCTATTGTCCAAGAGGATGAATAATTACATCATGCCTTGTGATGCTCTTGCAGGTCTCTGAAAATTTTGAAATTACCTTCTCACACCACACCGCATATCTCACTGGGATTGTGCTCCCTCCTCATACACAATGGTATGCTTGCTTCGATTTCCTAGAGACACAATAGATGTTGCAGTTGCTTGCACTAGATTGTTATGGTTTTGGTAATGGAAGTTGCTTGTACAATGAAATGACATGGTGAATGGAGTTTCTTTTCTACTAGCTCTGGTTTGGAGTTCCAGTTAGATAAACGATATCTATCAGTACCTCCTAAAGAATACTTTGAGTTCTCTCTCAAATGGGAAGGCGTAAGTTAGGCTTATGGATTGACCTATTATTGCATGATTAATTGGTTATAGTTACGACTAATACTTATCTGCCCATGCAGTAACTATTCATCACTCTCACTTTAGTGATCCATTTATCACCTTTATATTTCAGGCTGGAAGAATCATTGCAAATTTGATTGTGGTGGGCTCTGGAGTTTTGGGAGGGCCTGCTCAGGCATATCGTCAAGCGCTTCAAAGTACGGTTCTGACCCTATTATTGTCTCTTCCCACTCCCACTTTTGATGTTAATTGTTATCTTATCCTTCGAGCTTGATCCAACTGCAGATGCTTCGAGGAATGGCGTTGCACATGAAGCAGTACAGAGCATGAAGAAAGTCAGCAAGACGATGACTGAGTCAGAGGCAAGACAGATTCTTGGAGTGTCTGAAAATGCACCATAGGAGGAGATTCTAAAGATTGGAAATGGTTATTCATTCTTCAGTGAAATATATGTGACACCATTATATTGTTGTTGAGATCATCCAATTGGTACCCTTTTTTATCGTCTGAATCATTAAATGTTGGCTAAATTTGTCTGCAGAAATATGATTCCTTATTCGAGAACAATGCAAAGAATGGCAGCTTCTACCTGCAATCCAAGGTCTTCAGAGCTAAAGAATGCCTAGAAAATGCAGTAGCCAAGAAGAGTGGTGAATAAACAAATTGACCTAAATTTTAACATTTTCCCCGTCTCGTCTCCCAACTGTAGAGGTGCACATATTAGAAAGAAAGGCGTCATTTATTTAGTTTTGATATTTTACTGTAATGTGTATAGAATGTCGAGAAGCTGTGCCAAGATCTACTGTCATAACAGGCCTGCAAATATGTATAGAAGTTGTTAAGAATAAATAAATAAATAAATAAATAAATGGAAAGCCGAGTGTGGATGTAAGATGTCATGCACTCATGCCCCCTTTACTTGTTGTGAGTATTTGAGGTCGGTCGTGGATGTAAGATATGCACTCAGCTCCGTTATTCTGAGCTAAGCTGCATCTACGGGTTTAAATCAAGAGCAGCCAAGGAAAGCAGAAGAATCCACGTAGGTGGTTTGCGAGTGACGAGAAAAATGAGTGTATCGAAGGTTTGGGAAGCAACCAATACCTTTTTGCTAGGGAGGGACTTGAGCCCTTTCAAGTTATTGTCCACCACCTGTGTTAAATGGAACTAGCATTGGGCCCGGCCCGTTGGCCGGGTTTGTTTTTGAAAATTGAAGAACTAAAAACTATAATCTGCAACCAAGGTTAAGTTGAACCAAAACCTTGTGTTATAAAATTCAATTTGATCATATGATAAACTAAAGAATTACATAGCTGATAGACCGTTAATTACACATGTTTTTACCCCCGTTCTTACACCGTTTGAGGTATTGATTCTCGTGTTTTAGGCCGATTTCACGCTAAGTTGTGCTTGTTTGTGATATTTCAGGTCCTAGTACGTGAATGGAGGCTTGGGAGCGAGTCTGGGGTTGATTGGACGAAGATCGGACGAATGGCGAGGTTTCAAGGAAGCTGCACGGGCAGTCCTGGGTGTCACACGGCCGTGCAAGGGGCAACCCTGGCCGTGTGATTTCCACCGAGAGCAAACACGGGCAGACCGTGGCATCACACGGCCGTGCAAAGTGCAATTGTGGCCGTGTGATTTTTGCCGAGGCCAAACACGGGCTGACTGGAATTCTCACACGGCCGTGCAACCCTGGCCGTGTGAGATGGCTGAAGACCGAACTAATCCATACGCTGCGTTTCGACTCGCACGGGCAAAGTGGTGAGCTACACGGCCATGTGGCTGCCCGTGTGAGTCGGGAAATTCTGGTTTTTGAGCCAATTTCGAGCCAAAAGAGGGGAATCGGATTTTCAGAGCAAAAACAGAGCCCTAGAGAGAGAAAGTACGAAGAACACATCCTAGAAGCTATCTTGGAGCTGGGTTTCATCGAATCGAGCTTGGAGATCGTCATAGGAGTGGAAATCATCATCCCGGAGCAGATTTTCCTCATCATTATGAGTATGACTACTCCGATTACTGTTTTCTCTTCTCTCTCTATGGAGTAGAACCCTTCGCTCACTTGGGTATGAAGAACCCTAGTTCCTTGTGTTAGGGATTTGATTGTAATAAGTTGGGATGATATTACTGTTTGATTTTAATCGAATGATGCATGTTTATTGAATTGATTGGAGTCTGATCAGCTTTTCTCGATTTCTGCTGCAACCTGAGATAGATAGAATCTGATTAGGTTGTTAGAGCCTCTTCATTCGATAGTAGGAGATTGGCTATACGAGAGTTATCCAGTTTACTGCTTTGTACTGGAATTCAATTCCAGTAGTGGAGTTCTGTGTTCATAGCCTCAGCTTTCTATCCCGGTGAAGACTAGTCGTCTGCCGGGTAGTTAGACTGAGAGGGCTTGGTCAGCTTAATAGATTCCAAGCTACTGTCGGAACTTCCGCAGTCTAATCAACAGTGAATCAACCCAGGGGAATTACAATTGGACCTAACTAAGGGGCTAGGGGGACTCAATCCCGAGTGACTCTTTCCTGACTTTGAAAACCGAATTATTACTTGCTTTCTTACTGCTTTTGCTTTAAACAACAATCACTCGAATTAGTTTTCTAGATAATAGATAATCACGGAGTAAGCAGTAGATCTAGACCCCGGGTTGATAATTGAACTTGCCTGTTACTGCATTCCCGGACTGCGATTACACTTGGTCGCAGTTTGGTGTTGTGTTTTGGCGTGTCAAGTTTTTGGCGCCGTTGCCGGGGACCCTCTAGGTTATTGGGGAAACGTGAGAATTTGTTACTCTAGCTTTTTCTTTATTGCATTTTTCTCTTCCACCTGTGTGCCTTCACGGGTTGCTTCTGCTGATTGTGTGCAGGTAGTGCATGACCCGTAGCCAGTCGGGAGATCTACTGCCATTAGACCAGGAACTTGAACGAACCTGCAGGAACTTCAAGCGGACTCTAAAGGCGCGACTGGCTGCGGAGGAGGCGCTATCACAGTTGCAGATCGAAGAAGAAGAAGAGATGGCTGATCCACAGAACCATGATGTGATCAACCCAGAGGAGCAGACCATGGGATCCTACTGGACCGCTAGAGCTGCGGATATGAGGTCACCCATTCAACACCCTCATGTCCCAGCCAACAATTTTGAGGTGAGCACATCAGTAATCACCATGCTGCGCGGTTCAGTGGTGTTCCGTGGTAAGGAGGGAGAGTGCCCCCGATCACATCTCAGGCGATTCCACGAGCTCATCGATGGAATCAAGATCAATGGGGTACCAGCAGATGCCATCAAGCTGAGGTACTTCCCATTCACTCTAGAGGGGCAAGCCAAGGAGTGGCTAGACACTCGACCTCCGGGCTCCATCACCACGTTCGCCAACCTGGCAGACAAGTTCCTCACCCGCTACCATCCTCCATCCAAGACAGCTGACCTGCAGAAGCAAATTACACATTTTGCTCAGGATGAGGATGAGACCATCAGGGATGCTTGGGAGAGATACACCAGTCTCTTTCTCAAGTGTCCCAATCATGGTTTCAATGATGCATTCAAGGTGGGCACCTTCTATCACGCCCTCTTTCCGGAGGACAAGCAGCTGATTGACTCAGTTTGTGGCGGGAACATGCTGACCAAAACCCCGCCACAGCTGAATCAACTCTTTGAGGAGATGGCGAAGAACGGGTATGATTGGGGCACCGCCAGGAGATCGAGACGAGCGCCAGGACGGGGTGTGCATGCTGTAGGCACCCAGTCATCTGATTTGGTGCAGGTGGTATCGAAGCTGGTTTCAGCTATCGATCGTTCTGGTTTGATTGCAGGTACAGGACAGCCGCAGGCGATGCACTGCCAATGGTGTGAGAGCTCTCATCACACCGTGGAGGACTGTCAGGCGATGAAGGAATCAACCACACCCCAGGAGCAGGTGAACTTCATCAACAACGTCAGGCGCAATGACCCCTATAGTAACACTTACAATGAGGGGTAGCGCCAGCATCCTAACTTCTCCTGGGGTGGGGCAAATTCCAGACCACCAGTCCCCCAGGGACCACCGGGTTTCCAGAGGCCACCATATCCGCCCAGACAGGGGCAATTCCAGCAGCAACAGTCTCTCTACCAGCCCATGCCGGGGCATGCTGCTCAATCACAGCCGCGACCTTTCCAGCAGCCAGGTGCACCCCCTGCTGCCCCAGTGCAGACTGATCAGTTGGCTGAACTGCGGGACTTGGTGGGTTCTCTCGCCAGTTTTAGTGCTCAGAAATTCAACACTATTGAGCAGTTCATGGAGAAGGCCTCGGGGAAATTCTTGGCTCTTGAAGCTGGTCAGAGGAACACACAGGCTGTCTTGCAGGATATCCAGACCCAGCTGGGGAGCGTGGCTCAGGCAGTGGCTCAAAGGGCTCCTGGTACTCTACCCGGGCAGACCATCCCTCATCCGCCAACCCCGAATGAGCACTGCAATGCCATCATGACCAGGAGTGGCAAGGTGACTGTTGATCCACCTGCTCGAGAACAAGAGAGAGAGACCCCTGTCTTAGCATCTCCAGCGGTTGAAGAAGAGGCAGAGAAGGAGGTTGAGGTGCCTGCACCTAATCCGCAACCGGTAGTGAAGGAGTATATCCCGAAACTTCCCTTCCCTACTCGGTTGCATAGAGACAGGCTGGAGGCAGAGTTCGAAAACTTAATGGCCATGCTTAAGAAGCTGAATGTCCAAGTGCCCTTCCTGGAGGCACTATCACAAATGCCTAAGTATGCGAAGTTTCTAAAAGAGCTTCTCTCGAAGAAGCAGAAGCTGAGTGAGCTGGCCACTGTGGAGCTCATCGAGGAGTGCTTGGCTATTCTGCAGAACAAGCTTCCACAGAAGAAGAAGAAGGACCCAGGTAGTTTTACTATCCCGTGCTCTATTGATAAATTGCATGTAGAGAGGTCCTTGGCGGATTTAGGTGCTAGTATCAATGTTATGCCATATAAATTGTTCAAGAAACTAGGCCTAGGTGAACCCCGTGCTACTAGGATGACCCTTCAATTAGCTGACCGATCTGTAGTGCATCCTAGGGGCATAGTGGAAGACCTTCTGGTTAAGGTTGGCAAATTCAAATATCCTGTGGATTTTGTTGTCCTGGACATCAATGAGGACACAGAAGTGCCCCTTATACTGGGAAGGCCTTTCCTGGACACCGCCAAGGCTCTCATAGATGTGCATGATGGGACCTTAGTTTTGAGGGATGGCGAGGAGCGAATCACGTTTTCAATTGCTAATACTTTACCTGCTTCGTCACCTCTGCATGCTGTATCTCACCAGGAGCACGAGTCTGTCGTGTATCCTTCTGTGTTGCCTATTTTGCAGGACCCGCCTCTCACACCTTCGCCGCCACTCCTAACCACTCCATCACCAAAAGTACAGATCAAGGA